ACAGAACGTGGGCTCACCCTTAACTTCTTTAATTCTCTATTTCAGGTAGCCATTAATCATTCCACTAATAAGACATTACATTGTGAATAGCTTATCTTATATTCAGTTTTTCATAAAAAATCATGTTTAAAAACATTTTACGAATATTGCTGATTGATGGTGGCACATGCCTTTAATCCTAATACTTGGGAGGCAGAGGCAGGCAGATGTCTAGGTTAAAGGACAGCCTGGTCTATAGAGAGTTCTAGGACAGCTAGGGCTACATAGAGTAACCCTGTCTTGAAAGGGGGAAAAAAAGGGAAAAAAGGGGGGGGGGGTGTTGGGGTTGGGACTATAGAGATGACTCAGTGCTAAAAACAGGCTACTTTTTCACTGGGTTCTGTTCTCAGCACCCACATGTCAGATTATAGCTGTAACTCCAGTCCTAAGGAATAAAAATGCCCTCTTCTGCCCTCTCTGGGCACTGGACACATGTGATACATTTTCATGTAAAACACTTCTAAACATACAAATAAAACCTTAAGCTGGGATGGTGTCACATATGTTTAATCCCAGCACTTGAGAGGCAGAAGCAGGTGAATGTCTAAGTTTGAGGCCAATCTACTCCACAGAGTGAGTTCGAAACAGCAGGGCTACACAGCAAAACCTGGTGTCAAAAAACAAATCCCCCCTTCAAGAAATGTAAAATAAATAAGGATTAAAAAAATATTGCTGTAGGCATCAATTTGACTATATCTTCAAGAACAAGGCCTCAGCTGAGTAAGTTACCTTTGCTAGAATGCACTGTGCTTTCTAACAGTATGTGTGAAACCAGTTAGTTCAATTGGAGCAATCTTTGTTCAATGAACACCTCCATTTGTTGCCCCCCCCCAACAACAACAGCAAAAAAAGAAGCATCTTTGATGAGGGTAAGAGCTAGCTATTCTAATTAGTGACTATAAAAACAGGTATTTGAATGAAGTTGGGAAATTGTAATGGTTTAGAGTGGCAGTAGTGGGTTCTCCTAAGATCCATGAACTCACTGACCATTGGTAGAGCTGGCTGGGTTTACAGTATCAGGCATGAATTCTTACCTAGACCCTTAAGTCTACTTAGACAGCTATTAGTTACTGCCAAGCTATAAGTGTCAGTATTGTCCCCTTTTTGTTACCTTGCCAGGCTGGTCATTATTGTGCTTCATAAGCTTTACAGCTGTATGACAGGAAGCTGCATCCATGAAATCTCAACAATATGACTGCCTAAAATAAGACCAGACAATACCAGTCCGGTTGGTATCTCAATATGGGTGGAGATATCTCACCAGGCCCCACCCTGGGATGGAGAAATACAAGCAACTAATGGCTACTAAAAGTAACAATCATCTTTTTCAGGAACAAGCTCTCTAACAGTCTATCTAATCCCAAGTGTTCATCTCTATATGAGCAACATGAAATGGACTGCACAGTGTGTATATATGTATGTATGTATATATATAGATAGATAGATAGATAGATATAGATATAAATATATATATATATATATATATATTTTGTGTGTGTGTGTGTGTGTGTGTGTGTGAGTGCCTGTGCCATGTATATGTGTGAAGAGGGGAGGAGATAGGGGAACAGGGGTGGTAGGAAATATTTAATTACTTAAAGAGAAAATGAACTTGAACAGGAGTAGATACAGAGAGAATTTGGGAGAGGAAGAGTAGGATGGAATGATGTAAATACAGTACTAATATATAGGAGGGAAATCTGCACTAAAAATCCTTGTTAGACAGGGAAGTGGCTCAGTGGTAAAAGCGCTTACCTGAAAGTCTAGTGACCTGAATTTGACCCCTGAAATGCATGTAAACAGTGGAAAGAGAGAATCAACATGAACACATGCGTACACACACACACTCCACAATAAAAAAAATAAATAAAACTAAGTTTACATTAATAAAATTCTTTGTTACTGTAACAACAGAACACATTAACAGCAAGAGACTTTGAGAAAGAGGATTCAAAAAGCAATGTTGTTAGTTAATATTCTGCCAGTCACCAAATTTGCTATCAAACCTGCTTTTAGCAGGTCAACAACAGGCTAGGTGTGGTGGATCACTATGAATTTAAGCCTAGCAATGTCTACACGGCTAGTTGCAAGACAGACAGCACTACATAGTAAAACCCTGTCTTAAAATATTTGATTAGTTTTCCCAGCAATTAACTAAGTGAAAAAATCTTCCTCAAATATTAGTATTTTAGATAAGGTTTGAAGGCAAGTGAAAAGAGCTAAAATTCAGTATTTCTCCTAGATTGGAGAACATTTACATGCTGCTGAGAAACTATTATCACTGACTCGATAAGGGCAGAAAAAAGTAGAAATTTCTCCCCTCCTCTAGCCAAAGAGCACTCAGAGGCCAAGATTAGCTAAGCTTACCAAGAGTCCTTGACAAACCCAAGCTACTTTGTTAAAGCAAGTATATTTAGTCATATTAAGCAAACCATAAGGGTCTTGATTATACTTTAAAGGGAAGGTGATGTTTTCAGTCTATTTACATTTTAAAGTATACTCTTTCATGATCTTTCACATTTAAAATAGATGTCTAAATCTTTTGTTTTCTTTGCCTGAAAAGTCAATAAAGAGCTTGGCCTCTCCCATTGTAGCTAGCCTAACCCATCCCAGGACAATACTGACAGCTGCTATCAAACAGGCTGCATTTTTTTCTGCACAGATGCTACAAGAACTGTCTCCCAGTGCTTCCTCCCCTCTGGCCACACAGGCTGGCACACTGCATGTGTAAAGAAGGGGTGGAAAGGTCCACTGAATTGTCAGCCCAATTTTTTGCTACTTCAACTTTCCAGGATGTATACAATTCTTTTCAAGCACAAATCAAGCATATGTCATAGCATAAAACTAAAAGCAAGGGATAGTTCTGATCATTTTGAACTTTCAAAGTGCCACTGTCATAAATTAATATACTAATCCCACCATTTGAATGATTAAAAACTGCACAGGTTAAAATGCTAAACACACCATGATGTATTGGCCCAATTCACTAACTTGGGTTATTACTGCTATGCTATCAAAGCTAATCTGCCTTTAGAATCGCAACATGATTTCCGAAACTGAAACCACTGATAAAATTTGTAATCTACTTACCCTTCTGAAGTAACCTATTTTTATTTTTTGATTTTATTCAAAATAAATATTAACTATAACTATCTGGCTGATTAATACATTTTCTTCCTTTTGAAATGCAGGTTCAAGGAAGATTCTCACGGTCTCGGCAGTGCCTTTGAAAACTCAAAGACCAGCATTTTATTCTTGAAAAACTACACATAGCTGACCATGTAGCTCACTTGTAGAGTACTTTCTTAAATTATTATGTGTGAAGCCCCAGCTTCAATGCCCAGTACTGGCAAAAACAAACCAGAAAAATTACATGTGAAAATTTAGAGTCTATCAGAAAACAAACATGTCCCACAAAATTGAACAGGGCCCTTGAGATCTGCTTTGCATATGTCATCTTCTAATCAAAACAGGCTTTTCCATCCTCATTCATTTGGTTAAAAAAATTTCTTGCTCCAGCTACAAGTACAATTGCGATTGGTCTCTTGTAATCAAACACGGTATGTGCAAAGGCAGTAGACAAATGCAGGCATAATTGTGGTTTTTGTTGAATATGATTAGAGAGCCCACTAAGTAACAGTCAAAAATGTGATACAGAAGAGAAAGACAGAGCCCAGACCTGAGAGGGAAGGAGGGAGAACTGTTTATGCAGAGCTAAGCTGTCAAGTGCAATAAAGCGGCTTGAATAAAATCTAAGCTGAAAATCCACTGAAGCTCTCTGGTTCATGGAGAAAAAAGCTATTAAAAGGAAATGAAGGTCACCCTCCCAGTTTATTTCACCTAATTGACTGCCAATAGCTTACCACAGGCACCCCAACTGCAGATCTGCAATTGAGAAACTGATGAAAGGAGGGTTTTCAAGCTGAGGCTCATTCTTTAATCCTCCTTGGCTCTTGTGTTTTTCCCATCTCCAGTGGGGATGTAATTTTAAACCTTGATAGATTAACTGGTTCCATTGTCTGTCACAGCACTGGACTATGGCACTCTTAATCCCTATAGCAGCATGTCTAATTATCATTACAAAGTGTCGGAGGGAACTATAAAGACCAGCAGGGCATCTTCTCACAAGCAATTAAAATAAATTGATAAATGAGTGATTTTGAATCCATTTGAGGAACTTGAGAATGAACAAAATAAAGCAGCCAACCTCCCCCACCCCAATTTCAGCTACTTCTTTCCTTTAATCTAAATGGGACAGAGCATATGAGAACCACCTTAGGTCCTACAGTGGGTGGGGTTGAACTCCTGCAAAGAAAGAGACAGAATGCCTGGCTCACTAGATCCCTTAGTGCAGAATAAATGACTTGTGATTGACAAGAGAAACCAACTTCACCAGCAAGAAGAGATGGCTAAACTCCAGAGATGTGAACCCTGAAAAGCCACAAAGCACTGGGCAGACAATTAACACTCCTTCCCTATGGAGGGAGCTTTTCATTGGTATGCCACTTTAAAATTCATGAAAGAGGTACAATAAAGAGAAGACTCAAACAACCACACAGGTTCCAGTGCCCTAGAAAGCAAATGGCAAGGGCAACTCTGGGAATTATTCAAGAGTCTTGTACTGATCTCACTGTGGTGGAATGGTACTAGACAGAAAGAAACAAGGAAAGTGTTTAGAAAGTGATCTACATCTTCTGCCTCACTAACAGCAAGGGTGATTCTAAGATCCACAGGATAGTCTTTTTACTTCTCCATTTAGAAGAGTTATTTTTCTTCCTCTACTAGTGTTTCTCCCTTCATTCTCCTTGTGCTACTACATCCTATTCCCTAAACCTCTCCACCTACACCCAAACCCCCTTTCACCCTCCCTTATTAATCAAATCAGTCATCTCTAAGTTACACAACTTAGCGGTATGTGTGTTATGCTATCAAACCATAAAGAAATGAAAGCTGGTGATACACACTGTAGGAGGTAGACCTGGTAGGCCACGTACCCCGATGATGGCATTCAACTCTGCCATGGTCACCTGTTTGGCACGTTCGACAGCCTGGGCCACCTGTTGTTGATGCTTTGAAAACAAGGAGAAAAAAAAAATGTGTTAGCAATAGCTAAGGATTTTCCTGTTCATTCTGACAACAAAGACAGAAAGGCTGGTTCTCATACACTGTCACTTTACAGAATACAAAGAAGGACAACATGATGGTGTTTCCCTTTATTTCTGAAGGGTTCTAGTCACTACTGAACTCCTGGTGGGGTGATAAATATCAGAAGAGACATCAAGAATGGTGACCAGTCTTTGGATACTACAGAGATGAACACATGGAGGACTGTCCTAGCTTACAGGAGTTTTCGGTAGTAGATTTGGGCACATGACATTCACAACTGAAACACCCATCTTGATACTTAAAATGTAACTAGTCAGTCTAGGATTTCTCTGATTAAAAAATCTAGATGTGTCAGCAGTTTTTTATATAACTGGAAATTCTCCCTACTATTTATTTTAGCCTTTTAGTGTTTTACCTTCCAAGGAGAAAGCAAGCTCTGTTTTCAATTTAGAGAATGAAAATTCACCTTGCCCATTCCCCAACTCTATACATAATCAAAATAACGACACAGTTAATTTAAAGAGAATAGAACAACAGAGGCGAGGTCACTGAAAGCTGAAAGCAAATCAGTAGATATTCAGGGTGCTCCACAGCCAACTCCAGTGCTCTAATCTCCCACCAGCGGGGCTTCCCCCACATCACCACACATTCATTTTTACATATTGAAAACACATTATTCCCCTGTTCCCAGAAAGAAGATAACACTTTCAAAGCAAAACTGAAATAAAATACTGAGTCAATCTAAAATTACCCCTATGAAGGACTTCCTTTGAAAATGTTAAAGTAAACTCAAACCACATGGCTTCTTTATCTAAGTCTATGAGTAGATGAATCAACATGATATAAATACTCATTTTATCCTTATAATAATTATCATCTACTCTCTCCCTCCGTGAAATAAATCTGATACATAAATGAAGTCCCTGCTTTCTTGTAGATTAACTCCAATGCAGTTACTTTCAAGAAAACACAAAAGGGTACCTGAGTCATACCAAGCACACAGAACTCAAACACATGCACAGCCAGAGTTGTAGCACAGGCCTTAAATACAATCACTGAAGAGGCAGGGTAAGACGACTGTAAATTTTATGGTAGATTGTTCTACCTAAGTTGTTCCAGGCCATAGTCACACACACACACACACACATACACACAGAGAGAGAGAGAGAGAGACAGAGACAGAGAGAGAGAGAAACAGCTTTCTTTATGCTTGACAGTCACTTTGCAGTTTTCAAAATAATAACAACAACAACAATAACTTGGGGTTGAGATACTGTTACACCCCTCCAAAAGCCTGTTCTTGGATGCCTTAGAGAGAATGACATGGTTGAGACACTTCAGATGTAACAGATGTTCTTCACACTTGTTCCTCCTGATAAAATTAACATCTAAAACTGGCTAATTTGCAAACAGAGAAGCAACACAATTTCACTTTAACAGCTGAACATTTTACTTACTTCCTGAGACAGAAATGGGATGACTTGTGCACAAATGGTATTCAATCTCTTGGCGATTTCAGTCTACAAAGACAAAGCCACACACATATTTAGAACACCTCCCAGTCAGTTCAGAAACGTGAAACTTGAGTCTTCAACTATCACTCCAGGAGACAGAAAATTGTTCCTTAAACCATGTTACCAATAATTACCTGAAGATAAACAGTAGATACTAAGGCAGAATAGAGTAGGCAGAAGTGCAAATTTTACTGGTCACTTAAAAGATAATGATGGAGCTGGAGAAATTACTCAGTGGTTAAAATCACTGGCTGCTCTCCCAGAGGACCCAGGTTCCACTCCTAGAACACACACAGTGGTTCACAACCAGTTCTACCTCCAGCTCACTTGCCCTCTTCTAGCTTCTTTAGGTACCAAGCACACACATGGTGCACAAACACACATGCTGGTGAAATATACACATTATTGTTTAATTAAGATATAAATAAAAATAATAATTATGAGTAAAAAATCTACATGATTTAGAATATATTGTCCTTTCAATCTGGAATTGTACGTCCTTAACACTTTTTCATTGAGGGTATACTGTGGGACATGTTTACAGTTACGGCAAGTTCACTCGGAGTGGTATCAAAAATCATAATGTCAAGGCGATCTGGCTTTCAAAGATGCATAGAGCAAAAGTAGAAGAAAGAGGTACTGCCATCCTCTCCATTTCTCTCTTCACTACACAATGACGGTGCAAATGTAAACTGGTGTAGTCACTACAGAAGTGTAGAAACTAAAATACAACTACTAAAATACAAAAAACTGAAAATACAACTACTGCATGAGCTAGCTATATAACTCTTGAATAAGTCAATGCACCACATATAATTTCACTAGTCACAATCACCAGGAAGTGGAACTAGCCTAAATGTCCATCAACAAATGAACAGATAAAAGAAAATGAGGTTCACATACTCAACAGAATTTTATGCAACCATAATGATAAGTGAAATCATATCATAACATCTGCAGGGAAGTGCATGTGTAGGTGTATGTGAGAGAGAGGCAGACAGACAGACAGGGAGAAAGGGAATCATGATCCAAAAGGAAGAGATCTTGCAGGGGCTGTAGAGATTAATGGAACATGTAACATTAAAGTAGAACTAAGGGTCTATCTGAAGGAGGGAAAGAGGAGGCAGGGCAGGGGTAATAAGTGAGGGCAGTCAGGGGGATGATTTTACAAAATATAATGATACATATGCACTAAAATGTCATACAACCTGCTTGTACGATTACATATCCTCCCCTCATAAAAGGCCTCTGATAAAATCCTATATCCTTTCATAATAAAAAAAAGTCCTAGAGATGCCAGGGACCTATCAGAACACAAAAGCAAATTACAGCAAGCCCACAGCCAACATCATTCTAAACAAAGAAACTCCAAAGTCCACTAAAATCACAAACCAGACAACGAAATCCCTTCTCTCCATACCTGTTTGATATAGTGTGCAAAGTTTTAGCTACAGCAATAAGACAACTGGAAAAGACCAAGGGGGGAAAGTTCCTATCTGTAAACAATAGTACTTTATACATAAAGGACCCTAAAGACACCACCAGGAAACAGCTACAGCATATAAATATTTTTCAGCAAAGTAGTGTGATACAAAATTAAAAACATGCAAATCAGCCTTCTTACATACAAGTAACAAAACAAACATGCTAAGATTTCAGAGAAACAGTACCTTTCAAGATAGCTTCTTACTACAAAGATCTATGCTCACCTATGTTCATTGCTGCTATAATCATAGTAGACAGAAACTGAGAAACTAGAAATAGTCTCAACATCCATTAAGTGCTGAATGGATAATAAACAACTATTACGTGAACTTTTACAATGGAATACTATACAGCTCTTTTTTTTTAAGTGGAATTTGCAGGTAAGTGGATGTTTATCTGAAGTTTATGGGTAAATGGATGGCTCCTGAATGTTTTCTCTTGTGAGTTTTAAGTGTGTGTATTTCATTCAGAATACCGACAGCAGTTAGCTAGAAAAGGATAAGGAAGGAACAGAGAAGGGAATCTTCAAAGGAAGGAGAACTAAAACACAATGTCTTAAAGGAATAAAGAGGAAATAAGAACAGGATTAAATAGGGAGGGGGGAAAAAGGCAGGCAGAAGATGAAACAGGGTAATAATTAACACTAACTGCCTTCATAAAAAGCTACATCAAGCTGGGCATGGCAGCATGAGCCTTTAACCCCAGCACTCAGGAGGCAGAGGCAAGCAGATCTCTGTTAGTTTGAGGACACCCTGGATTTGCTACAGTTTCAAAACCCAGTTTAAAAAAAACCCAAAAAGAGACACATAGAAACCTACTAAGGTAGTAGCTTCCTAAAATATATACATACATAAAAGCAATCTAAATGGAGTTATCATATAATGGGGAAACATTACCCAACTAGAAAAATCCAAGTATCAAAATGGGGTTTATCTTTCTTAAATTGGCTAAAGGGGTCCCACAGATCTTCCCAAACATTACATGCTATTGCAAGACTACTAGTTACCCTCCACAAGTTGTATTATTGAAGATACAACTTACTTATATCACCAAACATGAAGAAACTAAACTGGTGCCCAAGTAAAATTTCATTCCTGCTGACTAGTATAGTGTTTAAAGGTACTACAGACAGTGCTGGAGGTGAAAACTAATCATCAGTCTCATTCATGTATAAACCCAGCAACCTGCAACAGAGATCTACCTGAGACCCACTGGTACTTTAGTGGCACAAATTTAACAGAAGTAACTATGCTGGCTACTTCTATGTCAACTTTGGAAGTCTGAAGTTCCAAAGATCCAGAGTAACTTTGATAACTTTTATGTCAACACAGTTTTGAAGAGGAAACCTCAACTGGGAAAACTGCCCCAACCAGACTGCCTATGGAAAAGCCTATGGTACATTTTCTTGATTAATGATTGGTGTGGGAAGGCTAAGCCTTGGTGTCTTTTGTTCCTAGGTTCTGTAAGAAGAGGGCTGAACAAGCCACAAGGAGCATGCCAGTAAGCAGCATTTCTCCATGCCCTTTTTGATGGGTGTAAAACGGAACTCAGTAAGGAATTCACAGTCCATTTATCACTATCACTCATCCATTCAAAGTAGGTAACTCAAAGTCAAGGCTCTCCCATGAAGCACATGCAGACTTCCCTTTCCTGTTTGGTAGTTATAGACACACACACACACACACACACACACACACACACACAGTGGAAAAACACTCATTACCCACATTCCATACATATTCTAGCATCATTCTGCTCTTTCTCTTTCAAAATACACTTAAAGTTTTCCAATTGTAGAAGTGATAGTGGTGGAAATAAAGAGATGATTCAATGATTCTGGTTGCTCATATAGAGTTCATATGGAGTTCAGTTCCTAGCACCTACATAGTAGCTCACAACTATCTGTAATTCCTCTTCCATGGGACCTAATGCCCTTTTCTAATGTCTGTGAACACCAGACATAATGTGGTATAAATTCATACAAGTCAGCAAAAACAATCAAAGATGTAAAAGAAGTTATTTTTTAAGTGACATTACTTGGAGATTCAGCTCAGTGGTACTTACTTGCCCGATATTCCAGGGCAAAAGCATGAAATGAAAGGTAATTTGCTTTGAATACATAACTCATGCACACAGGATAGTGAACCCGTGGATCAGAGAAGCCTGATAAAAAGGTAAAATAACACTAAACACATCATCCAGAAACAGTAACAGGTGTATGTTAAGTGGCCTTGGGCCACCATCATTTCTGCCTTGCATTCACCCACAGAAGCCCAGAGTAAGAGAACACATTTTAATAACAACATGTCCCATTCCATATACCCCTGTTCTATTTGTTGTCCATCTAAGAAACAACTGCCCAGTAAATAAACACAGACAGACTGAATACATCAGCATACTCCACTCTTGAGTACTCACACATATAAGCAAGACACTGATGTTTTATCCAATTTTCCAGAATTCTGAAGTCTGTGCCAAATAATGCTGAATATATGGACCTCTTGAGTTTCAGGGTCAGAATGTATGTGCAAGTTAGACTGTGAAGTATGCTGTCAACCTGCTCAGCAGAAAATCTCTGGGAATAAGAGTGCCTGCCTTAATGAGAATACAGGAGGTCATATCAATAATGAATTTTCTGGACATTCTTTCCTTGAAATAATACAAATATTATCCTTCATTGGTTTGTCTGATGCCCTCCATTGATTTCTTACTGAGATAAACACCATGTCCAAAAACAGCTTGAAAAGAAAGGGGAGTTTATTTTCATACCACTAAGAGAAGCCAGGGTAAGAACTCAAAGAACCTGGAGGCAAGAACTAAAGAACTAAAGATCATGAAGGAAAGCTACTTAATGGTTGTCCCCTATGGCTTATTCAGCCTGATTTTTATACAGTACAGAACCTCAGGGTTGCAAGCATCCTGTGAGCAGAGCACTCCCCATATCAATCATTAATCAAGTCTATACCCCCACCGACTTGCCTAGAGGTCAATGTGATAGAGGCATTTTCTCAATAGAGGCTCTCCCCTCACAGATTAACTCCAGATTGTTTAGTTGATAAAAAAAACTAAGCAACTCACCTGGCCTGCCACTTGTCTACCAGCTTTGCCTAAAAAGATTTTTTTTTTTTCTGTTTAGAATGTTAAGTTAGATGGCCAAATTGATGAGTTTTCTTCTGCTGTTTCTGGCTTTTAGGTTAAGGATCAGAACACATTAAGAGTACATAAACTATACTCAAGATTTTTCTGATGTTACAGCTATTCATATTAATTTATGCAGCCAGAATTTTTGTAAACCCTGGTTTACAAAAATAAAAATCCTCACCTTTATTGTAATACATGTTATTACATAAAAATGCATCAAGGTAAGCTTGAACATGGCCAAAAGGACTATTAAGACCCACTCTGAGCTTAGTGTGACAGCAACAAACTGTAATTCCATGACACAGAAAGCTAAAGCAGAAGTACTGAGCTCAAGGCCAGTGTGGGTGGCCTTCTGTTTGTCTCACAAACAGAAAAGAACTCATTCTGAATAGACTACATTTACAGTGTAACTTTTAATGATTAAAGTGACTGTGAAGCAAACAGAAGTAAAAACTAATATAAAAGCAATACAAAATTAGACTTGTTGAGACTGAGAAATGAAGACAGAGATCAAAGCTTCAAGTGATGAGAAATCATCAGAAACCATGTCATATGTCCTGCAAATTCTATATTGACAAAAGGAAAAGATACAATGCAGGAAAAGGAAAGGTTACCTCAGCAATCCCTTTCCTTTGCCAGGTCTCTAAACCAACCTTAAACCATCTGACCAGAAAACCAGGAGAACTCAGTCCAAGTCTGCTTCTGCTGCACAACTCTGTCCACATGTAAGATATCAACAAGAGCACCTTCCCCCTGGCAGTGAGGGTACTACATATACCTCAGAATGCTTTGTAAGTTCCACAAACAGCATCTCTACTTCCCACATCCATACTTCCTAAAATGTTCCCTTTCCTTCTCTTCAAAATGTGGACAGTAGTGGGGGGGGGGGGCAGAAAGGGTACAAAATAGATATGGATACATGGATGAATGGATGGATAGATGGGTGGATGAAAAAAACAAAGATGATGACTCTTAGCATTGTCTTCTGCCTAGATACCAAAGGCACTCTGATAAAATTCTTAGTTTAGCATGAATTAACAAGCAGCAATGTTTTGCACCTATGCTTCTATTCTTCGTCTCAATGCTGACAAGCAAGTTATACCAGGTCCTATCTTAGTATTATGAGTTTCACAACCTAAGGGCTTAAGAGATAGTTTGCTACTTAAGTAAGGATCATTTGGTGCTCTTGCAACAGACACAGATTTGGTCCCCAGAACAGACATGGTGGCTCATAACCTGTAACTCCCATTCCAGGAGACACAATACACTCTCTTATGGTCTTCTGGTAACACGTATGTATATGGTTCACAAACATACATGCATGTAAAACCCTCAAATAAGAATAAATGTTAGGAACTCCACAAGCAGAGCAACAGAACAAGATAATCTGAACACAGGGAACTTCCCAGAGACTCATACTCCAACCAAGGACTATTTGTGGAGATGACCTGGAACCCCTGCACAGGTGTAGCCCATGGCAGTTCAGTGTCCAAGTGGGTTCCATAGTAATGGGAAGAGGCACTGCCTCTGACATAATCTGATTGGCCTGCTCGTTGATCACTTCCCCCTGAGGGGGGAGCAGCCTTACCAGGCCACAGTAGAGGACAATGCAGCCACTTTTGATAGACTAAGATCAGAAAGAAGGAGAGGAGGACCTCCCCTATCAGTGGACTTGGGGAGTGGCATGCATGCAGAAAGGGGAGGGAGGGTGGGATCGGCAGGGGAGGAGGGAGGTGCTCATGGGGGGATACAAAATGAATAAAGTGTAATTAATAAAAAAAATAAAAGATTAAAAAAAAAGAATAAATGTTAAAGCAAGTTTTAAATCCTTTGATAAAACTTCTCCTGAAAACTAGAGAATCTACTGAAACTGTGTGCAAACTCTATTTTCCACCTACAGAGGACTTCCCTATAAAAGCTAAAAATGTATTTCATACTGCTAGATTACAATTGACACTTTAGGGCATCAATAACAAATCAGCATCTGGAGGTCATTCCCAACTCAAACAGTTCTCCACACAGACCTGTGTTTGTTTTATGAGTATGTATGGTATATGTACATAAAAGGTGAGGCTATATTCCTTTTAAGAAACAAGCTTCATTGATTAGGTAAGCAGCCAGCATTGCCCTAGCAATCACCCTTTCTCTGCCCTCACAAGTACATGAGATTCTGCAAGGTTGTTGAGATAAAATTCAGTTCTTCATGGTTGTGTTGCAAATACTCTTAGCCATTGAGCCATCACTCTTGGCTCCCTACCCAGAAATGCCCAGTCAAGCTCCCAGAATAGGCCTTACTCTGTGGACAACCTGTACCTATCAAGGTAGCAGGGGGCAGGGATAATATTTACTTATCTAGCACAATCTTTTATGTTTCTTGTACATATTTGCTCCCTTTACTGATTTACCCTTATGAGGTCTCATGACCCAAGAATTTAGATTCACACCTCAGCAAACTATTATCAGGTGTTTCCAAGTTAAGATTCAACTGCCAAATCATAGTTGTGTTATATGAATAACAGGAATGAGACTACTCTATCTTAGAGTTCCATCAAAGTCAAGTGAACTAATGTATAAGCTACAGGTATCCTATTCAAACCGAAGAGGACTTCCAATCCTTCAAGGCCTCCCTCAAGTACACTCAGAAGGTGCCTTTGCTCCTAACAAAATAAGCACTCTTCTCTTCATTTTTCAAGATCCTTACACTCACTGTCACTTGATAAACTAAGTTATACATACTAAAAAGCCACATATACTTCCTCCATATAACACGGTGAAGACATGAGAATAAGACTTCACTGAACATTCTGACACACCTTCACCCTCCCAGATCTACTAAAACTGATCCTCAGTCCACACTACCATCAAAGTAAAACTTGACTGCAGTACAAAGCTGATTCTCCCTGTAATGCTAAATTCAATGTCCAACGTACTTCAGATAAACTATCAGGAAATGCAGTATAGTAATACTTTGTTTACTGTATTAGGATAACAGCCACAGATGTCAGCTGAGTGTGGTGCCACATGCCTGTAATCCCAGTACCTGGGAGCCATTTTCCTTTTTTTTTTTTTTTAACTTTTGGGTTTTTTTGAGGTGGGGTCTATATTACCAGACTAGCCTCAAACTCAGAAAAAGCCAACTGCCTCCACCTCCTAATGCATCAACAATTCAGTATGTAGGAATTTGGGTCTTAGATGAAAAGCGAAACACACTTCAGGATGCAAAAAGTCCTGGCTCTGATCCCTAAGACTAACAAAACAACAACAATGATGCAGAGGTGCATGCATACTTGTAAGAAGTAAAACCAAGAGGTACCTTGAAGCCCAGCAATGGATGAAAATTAGAAATGCTCTGCAGGGCTTTTAAACTGAAGTGTGCACATGACAATTTCACGATTCTGATTCCTAAAAGCTCAGCATTCTCTTACTCATACTCCTCACACTTTTGCAATTACAAGGACTAAAGAGCCCACTCTCCGGGGGGGGGGGGGGGCTCATATACTTCCCCACTACACCCAAAGTTAATGCATAATGAATGCTGTTTGAAGCTCAAAGCAGCATAAGGACTGTGCAAGAGTAATTGCCCTTGGGTCTCAAGGCAGTCTTGTGGCACTCTGCCCAAAGTCAGTTTATGGAGGAGAAACTCCACCAGGAGTAAATTATAAAGTTGAAGGATCCTAAAAAGTAGTGTTCACACTGGAGGCTGCCAAAGTGATAACTTTTTTTTCTTCTCTTTTATGTTGATTTCCCTGAAACAATCTTGAGGCCTAGAGAAAAACAATAAATGAAGTGTTGGTAAGATTTTAAATAAGATGGGCCATTTGGAACTTGTTATTATAATATATGTATATATACATACATACATATATATATATATAGAGAGAGAGAGAGAGAAAGAGAGAGAGAGAGGGATAGTAGAGAGAAGAGAGAGAGACTAAGGATGACAAATTGCTTTTGTAGCATACATAAAGCCCTGAATGCAATCCCAAGCACCCCATAAAACAAAGTGTTGGGGCACATGACTGTAAATCCCAACACTGGTGAGCTGAGGCAGGAGGATGAGGAGTTCAAAGTCTTCCACAGCTCCAGAGTAAAGCTGAGTAGAACCTGGGTCTCTGAAAAAAAAAAAAAATAAATAAATAAACTTTTTATTAAAATCTAATTTGAGTATTCAGAAAAACTAGACTAAGTACATATCATTGAGGACAGTAAACTAATACAGTAGTAATTTTGGGTTTTGTTTTGGGCAGTACTGGGAACTGACACTAGGGC